TCCATTTACCATCTTTCAACTTTTGTGCAATTGCTGCCATATATTTTACTTTAATACATATTTTAAACCCATAGATTATAATAATTATGGTTTGAAACAGTTCTTTTGTTGTAGGATCGAAGAATGTAAAAGAAAAAAAACAAAAACAACAAAGAAAGAAGCCGTCCATTTCCATTTGGATTCATGAACATTTTCTGTTTTAGTGGTTCTTCATCTTTTTCTGCATCACTATACTTTCATCTTGGATTGGTTTTCTTCTGCCTGGAGAATTCCCTGTGTCATTCCTTTTAGTGTGAGTCTGCTGAGGATAATTCTGTCAGGCTTTGTTTGAAAACATTTCACTTTTACCTTTATTTTTAAAGAATATTTCTTTAGAATATACACTGCAAGTTGGCAGTTAGCATTGTCCTTCATCATTTCATGATACCATGCCATTGTTCATGGCTTCCATTGTTTCTCTTCTGTCAATCGTCAGTCTCATTTTTAATTCTTTAAATTTAATTCATATTTGTTAGCTTCTTACAGTATGCTTAAATCATTTATTTTAAAACTTTCTTCTGTTCTAATATAAACAATGTAAAGCCATACATTTCCCTCTGGGCCCTGCTTTAGCTGAATCCTACAAATTCTAATATGTTGTGTTTTTGTTTCATTCAAATTGTTTTTAATTTTCTTTGTAGTCTGGGTGACAGAATGAGACTGTCTGAAAAATAAATTGTTTTAATTTTCTTTGTGATTTCTTTTTTTGACCTATGGGTTATTTAGAAGTGTGTTATTTAATTTTTAGGTATTTGGGGGATAGTCCAGAGTATCTTTTAGTTATTAATTTTTAATTTAATTCTCTTGTGGTCAGAGAACATGGTTCTTATCATTTCAGTCTTCTTGGAACTTTATCAAGATTGTTTTAAAGCTCAGGATATAGTCTAACTTAGGAAATATTTCTGGTGCACTTTCAAATAAACTGTTGCTGTTTGGTGAAGTGTTCTATGATACGAAATAGGTCAATTTTTTAATAATGTGTACAAGTCACACACTCTTACTTTTGTCTACTTAGTCTATCAATTTCCAACAGAAGAGAATTAATACTCCTTAGCTATAATTTTTGAATTGTCTATTTTTCTTTTCAGCTTGGTCAGTTTTTGCTTCATGTATTTTGGAGCTCTGTAATCAACTGCATGTATTTAAAATTGTTTCATTTTCTTGTTAGATTTACCTTTTATTATGGAATGTCTCTCTTTATCTTTGTTAACATTCCTTGTCCAAAAATCACTTTGATATAGCCTCATGAGCTTTCTTATTGATTCAAGTTTTCACACTCTAGTTTTTCTAAATTTTTACTTTTAATTTCTCCTTATATTTAACATAAATTTATTGTAGCCGGTTTATAGCCGGTTCTCACTTTTTAAAAATCCAGTCTGACAATATCTTCTTTTTAATTGCAATGCTTTAACTGTATATATTTAGTGAAAATGTTGACAGTAACTGTTTTAATACATGAGCATGAGATTTATTTGTGTCTTCTTAAATGTCTTCTATTAATGTTTTCTAATTTTCTGTGTATGGTCTTTCACTTCCTTGGTTAAATTTATTCCTAAGCGGGATTTTTTTTGGAAGTTATTATAAATGATAGTTTTTTAAATTATTTTTCAGATAGTTTGTTGTTGTGTATAGAAATGCTACTGATTTTCCTATGTTAATTTTGTATACTGCAACTTTACTGGTTTCTTTTATTATAATAGTTTTTTTTTTTTGGTGGAGTTTTTGAGCACACTTATAATAGCTATTTCAAAACTCTCATATGCTAATTCCATCATATCTGTCATTTCTAGGTCTGCTTTTATTGACTAATTTCTCTCTTGATTATCAGACTTGTCCTGCTTTTTTACATATCTAGTAACTGTTTACCAACTGCCAAACTTTTAATGTTATATTGTAGCATGTCTATATTTTGTTTCTTTAATTAAAGAATTAAATAGGCAGCAAAGAATGTTTGGCAGGCAATAAAGAATATTTGGCAGGCAGTAGGGTAACTTGCAAATAACTTGTTTTCCTTTCAAGTCTTGCTTTTAAGCTTTGTTCAGGTAACTCTGTAATAACCTTTACTCTAGGGCTAATTCATTCCCTGTGATTTTTCTTTGGTCTCCTCTATCAGTGCCTTAAATTTTTGTTCTACCCTGGCTAGGTAGAACTTGAAAATATCCCAGTCCTTTAGAAGCTTTCAAGATGATTGTTTAGCCTACAGCTTCCCAGCAGCTATTTGCCCAGCCTCACAGAGTTTCTTTCTATGCATCTATAGTTTACTGTAAGAAATAGACTTGAGGGGATTTCTATGTTTATGTCTAAATTTCTTCTTTGCATAGCTCCCTCTTCTCCAATACTATGCCTGACATATTCCAGCTGTCTCAGCCTGTCCAAACTCTCATCTGTCTTTTCAACTCAATGAATCTCTTATGCTTTTTTAGTTTCTTCTTACGTGCACTGTGATCTGGAAAGTCCCTCTAAACAGAAAGCTACAGTGATTGTAGAACTTTCCTCTTTTGCTTCTGTTCTTGCCTTTATCACAGTTCTGCACTGCCTGTTGTCCCATGCCTGAAAATAGATGCTTCATGTATTTTGTCCTAATTTTCAGTGCTTTGGGTTAGGAGATGAATTCCAGAATCAGTCATTCTAACATAGCCAAAGTGGAACAATGTTGCAAAGTCTTTAAGATTTTACAAATGAAAAGTTTGCTAGAGCAGGAGACCAGGTATGGTGGATCATGCCTGTACTCCCAGTACTTTTGGAGGCTGAAGCAGGCAGATTACCTGAGGTCAGGAGTTCAAAAGCAGCCTGGCCAACATGGCGAAACCCATCTCTACTAAAAATACAAAAATTAGCTGGGCATGGTGGCAGGTGCCTGTAATTCCAACTACTCAGGAGGCTGAGGCATGAGGATCACTTGAACTCGGGACAAGGAGGTTACAGTAAGCCCAGATCATGCCACTGCACACCAGGCTGGGTGACAGAGCAAGACTCTGTCTCAAAGAAAAGAAAACAAATATGTACTAGAATGGCTGGTTCTGTGATGGAGAGGGTAAGGAAAAAAAGAGTCAGTGGCAACTATATAACTTCTTTCTTGACAGAAGTGTAAGAAATACCTTATCCTTGGAAGGATTTTCTCCTCAATTTCAAAAGAAGTTTCAATGGAAATACTTATTTTTTGAAAGTTAGAAGTTTCAACTTTAGGTTTATATTTTTTCCATAAACAAAGGCTAACTAGGCAGTTTTCTAATGTTGCAGTATTGTTAATTTAGATCACTGTTGATGATAAAGTGGTTCCTGCTGCTCTTGCTGCTGCCAACAATGAGAACATTTGCTTAGGCACTGCTAATATACCAGGCATTGTGCTATGCACTTTGTACTCATTATCTTTACCCTTCCACAACAGTTCTGCAAGTTAGAAATCATGATCCTGAGAAACTCAAGGAGGTAAAATTATTTCCTCAAGGTCATACGCTAAGAAGTGAAAACTCTGTGACTAAATTACTCAGTGGTCATTTAGTGGCTAGAATTGGGAAATAATCTCAGCTCATAGGTAACAATGCCTCCTCCCATTATTATACTGCTCTCTGATTCTGTCTTTACCTGAGCTTTCCATCTGGCAAATTAAACTGGAAAACAGCCAACTCCCTTCCCAGAGAGGCTGTACTATTATATAGATGTTTTGCATTATTTTGCTTTGAATAACAACATATGTAAATGTGCTCCTGGAGGCTAAACTACCCTTATTTTGTCAAACTTGGCCTCTCTCACTAGGGTGAATAGTTGAAAATTTTAGAGAGGAAAAGGCAGGCTGGAAAGAAGGTTGACGTGGAGTTGCTTCTCCTCCTTTCCCCCGACCCAACACATATTTCTATTCAGACATAAGCAGCCACAGCAGAGTCAAGATTACTAAATTCGATATCATGGAGTCCTAGCTGGTCCTGATAGTCAGTGATCAGAGTGGGTTAATCCAGCTATTACTGATTAATTCTGCATCATGTTGATATGTAGGGGCAGATGTTCTTGCTGAGAAGAATAAAAGCCTCCTGTGGCACCTGGAAGACCTTATCAGACAGGGTCCCTGGCCAGATCACAGAGAGATTCTAGTTAACATGGGCATTTTGCTGCCTCTAACCATCTACCTCTTGTTCAGAGGTTGGCCCATCTCCTCGACTTCGGCTCTCCCTTGGGCCCTGTATTGTTGAGCCATCCCTATCTTAAAGGGCCTTTCCTGGCATTTGAATCACCACTTTGATGATGTGATAATATCTGCAAGTTAGGAAAATAAAAATGGCATTTGTTTAGCCATAATTAATGAAATATTTATGTTGCATGAGACTATGTGATAAAACCTTAGGCTTAGAGTCCTTTTGCTTCTGATTACATTTGGGATTTTTTTTTTCTATGACCAGACATTCTGACGCCAGCTCTTTTACGCTGAGCAGATGTCATGTAGTAAAAATGGGTGCCAGATGCTGTGAGCCACAGAAGGGCGATTTGTTTAAGCGCTGGCTCCAACTTTTTTGCATTCAATTACTCTGCAGAACAAACCTTACACAAGCATTTAGGTAACTCAGCTAACTTTAGACATGCATTTTAATAATAGATTTTTATCTCTGAATGCATTCTGAGCAAGGCACCATATAAATGGTGTTTAAGGAATTAATTGACTTCTGCGTAATACCTTGGCTTTTTTTTTTTTTTTTTTTTTTTTTTTTTTTTTTTTTTTTTTTTTTTTAATGTGAAAAGAGAGCTGCAAAGCTCTTGGCAGGAACCCAGAAATGTAATTAACGTGGAGGGCCAAATTTTCAGTTGTCCTCAGGTAGTGTTGCCTCGTGCTTGTGCTCGCAGCAGGTGCAGTGAGGGGAGGGCCGGGAGGAAGGAAATGAGAGGAAGCGGGGAGGAGGAAGGAGCAGCTTTGGTTCGTAAAGCAGGAAGCGAAGCCAGCAGTTCATTGAGTTTTTCTGTTCCCATTTCAGACTCCAAGAACTTTCCCTTCAGAGCACAGGTAACAGAGGCTTCCTCTTGTGCCTCTTCTACCACCTCTTCCTCTGCAGATGAAGAATTTGATCCCCAGCTTTCCTTGCGGTTAAAGGTAACAACACTTGGTCCCCCAAAGAGGGCCTTGGCTGGTGGGGGCTGCTTACTATCCATATTTCAGACCCAGTGTGGGCTCCGGCTACAGTGGCTTCGTTAGCAGGATCATGTATCATTGCATCCGACATGATCCTCTCTTTACTTGGAACACCCCAAGAATTGTATCTTTAAAAAACAACTTGTACAAGTTTGCCTTTCTCAGACCCACATTGGGGAGAAAAAAAAAAGAGAGACATATTTGCTGGAAACCATTTGGTGACGGCAGCTCTTAAAGTGGGTTTAATATATGGTCCAACAAGCAAACCATTGAAAAAATTACAACAAACAGATGCATATTTCCCTGGGGGAAGCACAGCTTCATTTAAGAAGCACTAGAGGCAGATTGCATGGAAAATGTTATGTTTATTCTAATCAGAAATATGAAATGAACCATGCAGTTGCATCTAGACATAGATACTCCAAGGATCCCTGCTGTGAAAGTGACAAGCTCTGTGCCAGCTGGGGAGATGGTAGACTTCTTTTCTCAATGGACATTAATGTTTCTGGAGAGCTTTTTAAACTACTCTCATATCCATAGATTAAAAAACACAAACATTGTATATGTCTATAAATGCGTCCGTATGTCACATTCACAGTGACAGACGTCCCATAACCAAAGCCCACCATTGTTTTCTTTATCCACCGAAGCTGGAGCATTTTCACTAAGACAGTAGAGTACTTGGCGCGGGTGGTAGGGGGGCGGGGTGTTACTGAATGGTTGGACCTAAAATGCAGAAAGAGAAGCAGTTTGCTGCTCTGGTAGTGTTTATTTTTTGGAGTAGTGAGGCTCTGGGGAGGGAGGAGGAGAACCAAATTTATTTACACAACTCAACTTTTCCATATCTGGCATTAGGAGCTTTGGCATCATCTCAAGTCACTCAGGGGTTCCAACTCCCCATGGCCCAGCTTGGAGTAAGAAAGGAGGGGTCTGGGATGTGTGTGAGAGTGTGTGTGTGTATGTATGTGTGTGTGTGAGAGAGAGAGAGACAGAGAGATGGGGGGGCACACAGGGGAAGGGAAGAGAGAGAGAGGGAGGGAGTAGAGATTGAGGGAGAGAGATGTATGAATTTCTCATTTCTAGCAATGATGTCTCTGATTAGTTCAGTATTCAACACAAATGAATTCTGTGTGTGTGTTGTATTGATTTCTGTGGTTTTCTTACTGCCCCTCTCATCCCCTTGAGTGACCCTGAGTTAATTCTGTATTCAAATTAGGCAGAGATTCCAGCATCAGCCATCTTGACATGGAGAATAAAAGAATAGAATGGCCCAAACATTGAAATCGCAAGACGGTGGTTTCTAGGACCAGTATCACAAATAGCTCCTTGTCCTCCTGCTGGTCCACAGCAGAGCTCACTATCACATCAGCTTGCCAGGCGGTAAAGCATGCCCGCCTCACCTGGCTTCAGACCTGTCCCACTCTTAAAGGAAGGGAAGCTGGCAACAATATTTCTTCTTTCCAACCTCTCAAGGGCTCACACTGAAGGAACAAGAGGAGGTTTTCGTCCTCTGGTTTCTTTGTCTCTTCTGTCCCATGCAGGTGTGTCCCCACCCAGGTGGCACAGAGCCCATGACAGCTCAAATGAACCTTTGCACAGGAAACCAGAGACAAGATGTGTCCTCTTGGCCTCTTCCCTTTGCTTCACCCTTGTTCCCCACTGCCTCTCCTCCCACACCACCACCTAGATCTAAGAGACTAAGGCCGGAAGAGATACAGCATCTTGTCTTTGATTCTGCCAGATTTCTGCATCTTTTCTTCCATAGCCCTTAGCTTCCTTCCTTCTCTGCATCATCAGTGAGGATATAAGAGCTGTGCCTTGTATACATAAGGCTGTGTCTTTATTAATAATGCGTCCTTCTTTTATGTGTCAGCAACTTTTAATAAAAGGCAATAAATGACTTTCTTTTTCTAGGTTCTGTTTTGCTGACTCTTGATAAAGCAGAGTCTGATAGCTTTGTGGCTGGAAAGTGCTGAGACCACATGATGCTCTTGAGGCAATTCGCCCCACCTTTCACCTTGGAATTGCATTCAGTGGTCTTCATTTAGGGAGGAACATTGGCATTTCTTTTCTGTAGTCTCACGTTAGAGTAGGGCCTTGTTGTGTTTAAATGGTATTTGGCACAAGGAAAGGTAGTATGGAATAGATGAAATGTGGATACTAGATTCAGGCTACCTGTGCCTAACTCCTAGCTTTGCCTGTTAGTAATTGCATCATCTTGTACAAGTTAATTTCCTCTCTGAGTTTTAATTTCCTTATCTGTAAAGTAAGTGGAATTTGAGGAATAAATGGGATGACACATGTGAATTAATTAGTATAGTATCTGACATGCAGCATTAGTAAATGTGAGGATTTATTACATAGGTTACTATAATGGAAGCTCAAGGGACACTTGTTAATAAATGAACTGACTCCATATAGACTAAGTTAGACAATCTCTGGATAACAGTTACCGTTGATCCCCACCACCTCTTCCCTAGAGCCTTTCCAGAAAGATCCTAGCTGCCCAGTGAGGAATCCCCCATGCAAAAGGTCTGGAATCTCCATTCAGAGTGATTGACAGTCAATCTGGTAGTCACCTCCTGGAAGCAGAGATGATACTATGTGGAATAAGTTGAGTTCTGCGAGTCAAAATTTTCTTCCAAGGATGAAGAAGATCTTTAGGATTTGAGGTCCTAAGTAGAATTCCAGAAAAATAGCCGGTAGGCACCAAGCTAGCTATAACAATTTTTAAATTTCATATTTTTGTTTCTTCCAGCATTAAAAAGACATGCCTAGAATGCTCTAATCCTCATCCTAGTTTACATGAAGTTGTGTGTGCTCAGAGAAGGCAAACAGAATAAAAATGGTCCAATTTGAACATTTATTTTGTAGATACAGGATGTCTGTGTGTGTATATATAATATATACTCCACAGAAAAATCATGAATAGATTTTAGTGAAAAGTGATAATCATGCTAATTTAAAATATAATAGGTGTGTTAATAATAAAAATCATGCTATTAATATTTACTGAGAGTTCATCCCATGTCTCTTTCAAGTATTCTACAAAGGGCTTAGCCTTATTATTTCATCTAATACTAGGCACTAAATTCTCCTCATTAGTCTAAAGAAGGCACTGAAGTTCAGAACATTGTGTGACATTCTGAAGCTCACACAGCTCAGCTGGGATTGGAGGCAAGCTTTGCCTGTCTTGTGGACCCAGCGCTCAACCATTAGTCTCTGCTATTTCTCCCATCAGAAGTATCTCCTGAACTTTCCAGTATGTGCAATTGGCCACACCATCATTTCTCTTTTCTCTTGTATTTAAAACCTGGAAGTGACACTATCAAGATCTAGACTTCTACTTTCTATGCATTAGTTTTGAATTTTTTTTAACAAGCACAGTTACATACACAACCCAGTGACAGTAATGCTATAATTGTGTAAACAAAGTGAGGTTGGAAAGAGAAGCAATCTCAGGCTTCCCTCAAGCCAAAAAACACATTCATTGGAATGATACATTTCTCCATTTCCAGGTTTAATTAGCCACTGTAGACTCAACTTAAGCACTATTTAAAGTTGTTAACCGGTTTACATGTAGGAGAGAGAGAGCATGTGTGTGTATGCCTGTCTGCTTGCCTGCCTGTCTTTCTCTCCCAGGCCCCTTAACCCTGAGCTATATCATAGCACCCCTGTAAAGTATAATTCTTGTACCATTCTTTCTCTCAGCTGAACCCAGCCTGTACTCTATAAAGCAATTCCCAGCTACAGACCTATACATACGTTCCCTCCCCATACACACATAGCAGCTTCCCAATCCAGAACCTACTAGCAACATGCAGCTACTTAAATTTACACTTAAATTCATTAAAATTGAATAATATTTAAAATTCACTTTATAATTCACACTCACTTCCTTTCAATTGTCCACTAGCCCCATAGGGCTAGTGGCTTCCGGATTTTAGATAGCACAGCAATAGGTTATTTCTATCATTGCAGAGAGTTTTACTGATGTCATTATTTTGGAAACTAAGCAGTGGCTAGGAATCATTAGTTGGAAAGGGCAGAAGCCTATAATGATATTTTGTAAATTTCAACCTCATTTTTCTCAGACATAATTTTTTTTCTCTATTTGTTGTCATAGGAGAAGAAGACACTTAGAAAAAGAAAGAAGCTGGAAAAAGCAATGAAGCAGTTGGTTAAGCAAGAAGAATTGAAAAGACTCTATAAGGCTCAGGTCAGTAAATAAACTGGAGATGAATGAGTGGGCCTGGGTCCCCTGGGACTCTGGATGGGAAAGAGGTTTGAGAGTCTGTATTGTATTAGGGAACACAGGCTGGAGAAAGGTCAGTCTTCTCTGAGGGACTAGATTTGTGGCTGTTTTAAAAAGGCCCTGGCTTAGTCTCAGTAGGACTCTGGGTCATGGACAACCCAGGTGTTAATACGGCCTGTTCTCAGCCACCCCTCCATCTGCAGACGTGAGGTTGGAACAAGAGACAGTGCATGGCCTTGGGAGCATCCCTGACTGCCACATAGCAGTGACCTTAGTTTTGTCCTCTGTAGACACAAACCTTCCACTAACTCCCCAACAGTGTCTTTACTAAACTGACAGCTATTAAGGGCTGTCTCCATTTCAAGATTAGTTGAAATCCTAAGTATCTAACCTTACAATAAAGATTTCCTGGCCTGATTGCTTATTTCAAACATTTCCTCCCAAGTTGCTCTGCCCCACTCCATCACAGACAGGCAAAATGAAGCAGAAAGTCAAGGCATCCTCCATCCCTCTGAGGACCCCAAGCCTAGTCTTGAACAAGAGTTGGGTTTTAGGACATATGGACTTAGAATGACGACTCATGTTAATCCAGCATATCCTCACATCCCTTTCTCCAGTTATTCCCTTTATCTGGCTAATAATCCTACACACTATTTCTGACCAGAGTGACGTCATTCAATCCACCCTCCTTTACCCTTCCCCGTGGCTGACTTGGGAGCTACCTCTTTCACCTAGCGAATGGGGAAAAGTCACTTCTGTCCACTTGCAACCTCTAAAACAGGTTTCTTAGAAACACTGCAACTTTTCTTTCTAAGAACAAGACAACTCTTATGATGTTGATTGACAAACTAGGCAATGTATCTTCCTTGTATTTTCACCCCAGACAGTTGGTTATAATAAGAGAAGAATTACAATAGCCTTTTGAGTCCTGCTGGCACCCATGGCAGCCCTCTTTAATCTCTGAGACTTTCATCCTTAGTTTCGTTTTTTGAGACAGAGTCTTGCTCTGTTGCCCAGGCTGGAGTACAGTGGCACGATCTCAGCTCACTGCAACTGCCTCCTGGGTTCAAGTGATTCTCTTGCCTCAGCCTCCGAGTAGCTGGGATTGCAAATGCCTACTACCATACCCAGCTAATTTTTGAATTTTTAGTAGAGAGGGTTTCACCATGTTGGCCATGCTGGTCTCAAACTCCTGAGCTCAAGTGATCCTCCCGCCTCAGCTTCCCAAAATGCTGAGATTACTGGCGTGAGCCACCATGCCCAGCCTCATCCTTAGTTTCTAAAGAATGACCTCTGTATTAGTCTGCTTGGGCTGCCATAACAAAATACCACAGACCAAATGACTTAAACAACATAAATTTATTTTCCTTGCATTCTGGAGCCTAGAAGTCCAAGATCAAAGTGCTGATGGGTTTGGTGCCTGGTGAGGCCTCTCTTCCTGGCTTGTAGGCAGCTGCCTTCTTGCCGTGTCCTCACATGATCTTTCTGTGAGTTCACATGAGCAGAGAAAAGTATCTCTGGTGTCTTTTCCTCTTATAAGGACATCAGCCATATTGGATTAGGGCTCCAACCTTAGGACTTCATTTAACCTTAATTACCTCCTTAAAGGCTCAATCTCCACATACAGTCACATTGGGTGTTAGGGCTTCAGTCTCTAAGAACCACATAGCTGTAACTGCACAGTGATCAGTAATAAAGTCATTTAGGTGCTTCCCTTCTTTAGCAGTTCTACAGCATGCCGGCAAGAGATGGATTTATAAAGATATCATTGTCTTTTAAGGGAGAGACAGGAAGAGGGCATGAAACTACAAGTAGTTTTAAGTGGACTTTCCATCTATTTCAGATTTTGTGTTGGAACTTAAGCACTCATAGCTGAGACAAGAAGAGCTGGGTGGCTGAGCAGGCCCCACCCCTCCCTGCCTGGGTCTCTTTACAGGGTTTGAGGGGCCTTGGCTCTGTACTTGTGATTTCAGGGGTGATTTAGAAAGACATGGGGTTAAGGAGGAAGAGGAGTGAGACAGAGCTGAAGTAAAACAAAGGAGGAACACAGGCATTCAGCCTGCCCAAATAGCTGACAGTTCCTTGAATATACCTGTTCTGCCAGGTGCAAAGTCTGTCCTGCCAAGGGATGTGCCTTTGACAGAATGGTATTTGAAAGCAGAGAAAGTGGATGGGGATGAACAAAATTTATATAGGAAAGGTTTTTCCATAACTTACTTACTTTTTTTTTTTTTTGAGACGGAGCTTCGCACTGTTGCCCAGGCTGGAGTGCAGTGGCATGATCTCATCTCACTGCAACCTCCGCCTCCCGGGTTCAAGCAATTCTCCTGCCTCAGCCTCCCGAGTAGCTGAGATTACAGGCCTGGCTACATTTTTGTATTTTTAGTAGAGACTGGGTTTCACTACGTTGAACAGACTGGTTTCAAACTCCTGACCTCGTGATCTGCCCGCCTCGGCCTCCCAAAGAGCTGGGATTACAGGTGTGTGCCACCGCACCTGGTCCCTAACTTCTCTTTCTAATATACACAAGAGATTAATAGTTAGTGGGGAATATAAATATGTAAATGTCAACCCAATCATGACCCCAGACCTTAATAGGTGCCTATAATGAGCCTAAGGAGATATGATGTCACCCCCTAATGAGTTAAACATCTTGTGTCTTGTCTTAATAACCTGTTAGTAACAAAGCCACAGTGCACTTCCACAGTGAAAGAATGCTGGGCATGTGCCCATGATGCAGTGAAAGACCACGTACAATTTGTAGCTAAGGATAGGAGCAGGACAATCTGAAACAGGAGCACGAAACCCCAGAAGCTGGCCCAGGTCTCTTGCTCCAGAGTGAGTCTTTAGGAGGTATAGGCTGGTTCTTCTTGGGGAAAAGAGATTATGCACATATTGAGTTTGCCCTGGGACCCACTACCCTACTCTGAATAGGGGCTGCAGCTTCAATCATTATGCCACAGCCACAGTCAGTGGCTGTGGGCTCCAAGGAGTCCAGGAGCTATGACGACTGCCCACCTCACCCAACAGCCTCTGTCTCGGAGGACATCTGTGATTGACGTTGTCTAAGGGGACTGTTTTAATGTCCACTTAGGGGCCAATTGAACATACACACAGATTCCTTGCTTTATGTTGCATACTAAGGAAGGGAAACATCAGGATATAGCTGCCTGGGAATTCAGAGGTCCTTGCTTAGTTACTCAAGGCAGGACCATCATGAATGAAAGGGCATCTTTTTCCTGGAAAGGAAGTGGCAGAATCTGCTCCTCTTAGGACTCCATGTGGAGATTACTTGTGTGACATGTGATCCTGGTGTTGCAGGCCATCCAGAGGCAGCTGGAGGAGGTGGAGGAGCGGCAGAGGGCTTCTGAGATCCAGGGTGTGAGGCTGGAGAAGGCATTGCGAGGAGAAGCAGGTACGGCATCCTGGCAGATCTGGGGCAGTGGGCGTGGCCTGAGAATAGTGCTAGTCTAACCATCTGAGCAAAACAGACCTTGTCACCTGCTGGGGATCTGTCAGCATGGACATGTGCTAAATCCACAACTGCTGCACACTTTAAACATCGCGTTATTGCTTCTCGGCCTTTTGGCCAAGACCAAGCGTAAAAATCAAACTATTGGCCCAATTTGAAATTCCCAGGAGCATTGGTCAGCCCACAGGCCTTATAATTGGGTTTCTGTTCAGCCCCACCTCTCCACTGGCTAACACAAATGTTCTTTGCAATTCAGAGGTTAAGATAAATTCAGGAGAAATATGCGGGTATTGAAGTAAGGTTGGTAGTAATTCAAAGCCCAGAGTGAGAGTCAATGTCCTGGTTTTTCCTTTACTACCTGTATGACCTTGGGCCAGTCATGTCATAAACCTTTATACTTCTTCCTTTTCTCATCTAAAATGAGGATAACAGTGATTTTCTCCTTTATAGAACTGATAAAAGGATTAAAGAGGAAATTATATATGATTGTTAGGTAACACATTGCCTGGCCCAAGGTAAAGCAATAAGTGGTAGTTATTCCAGTGATAGCTTCAGATTCTTAGATTCAAACCGAACTCATCTGGTGAAGACCTACCGAGCATTAGACATTAAAACACTGGATCTATAACAATGAGCATGACACAGTTTCTACCTTGAGAAATTTATAGACCATTGAGAGACACACATAGGTAAAGAGATAACCCACAATACAGTATGTACCCTAATGCTGTGATAGGAACAAGCATTAGGGTACAATGTGGACAGAACCAAGAGATTCCTAACTGATCTTGGGGCAGGGAGAGCCATCAGGCTAGGCTTCCGGGAAGGGGTGATCTATAAGATGAGAACCAGAGGAGGAACAAGGGTTAACCAGTGAAGAGAAGATTGTTCTGACAGAGGGAACAGCACCTGCAAAGCTCAAATGTGAAAAGACATGAAATATCTTCACAAATGAGCCAGTGAAGGGTTTTCAGGTAAGGAATGGCTGAAAGAAATTTACATTTTCAAAAATCTTCCAGGAGGGGTGTGGCTAATGAATTGGAGGGCCCTAAGAGTTTGTTGGGGGTATTGTCTCTTTAGTTTTGTATTGGATGTTTTCAGCCTTCAATATTTGGGATATAAAAGGTGAAAAACCAAGCACTGAAATAATGTGCAATAATATAAACAGGTTACTTGTTACTTAACAAGTGAAATGTAGGATTTCAATTCTTTAAAAGTTCAGTTATTTGAGAGTGATGACACTAGCAGGGGCAGACCTAGATTTCCCGAGGCCTTGAGTTCATGCAAAGTCATGCATGTAAAATTGTGAGGGCTGCTTCCAAAACCTTGCAAGGACCCATCCAAGTAAGGGGTCCTGAGGTTTCAGTTTCATTAACTGCCTGGTTAATTTAGCACTAGATTTCAGGGAAATGCTGGAGTCAGACTTTACCTCTTCTGTGCCTCAGTTTCCTTGTTGGTAAATTGGGAGTGATAATAATACTTGTTTCTTGTATTTGTGATAAGGATTAGCAAAAACAATTTATGTAATACCCATAGCCCAGTGCCTGGCATGGAGCAGATGATTAATCAATATGTGTTTTTTTTTTTTTTACTAAAATGCACTGGATTTCCTTGCAAAGATGACCTAAATTTGTTCATTTGTAGGCTTATTACAAATAAGACTTATTACATGAAGTAGGCTTATTACAAATATGAAGAGTTTCTTGCTGCTTGGACTGAGAGTCACTGTCTATCTCTACAGCTGCTGCAGGACTTTCAGTAGAATGAACTGCCCTTGTTAGGCTTTTGATCATATTCCCAGTCCAGAAGGCTCTGGTCCTTGTCTTTGGGAATCTGCTGATCTTAGTGACAGCCTTAGAAAGGAAAAGGAAAAAACAGAAAAGCCAGGGCATGCTTCAGTTTGCTGCCAGCAACACAGGCCAACAGGTGGCATAGTGGGAAGTGGGGAGCTGTGGGCGCCAGCAAGCCCTGTGTTCAAATTCTCTTCCACTCCACTTAGGCTGACTAGTCCTGGGCAAATCACTTAACCTCTCTGGCCCTAGATTTCTTATCTGAAAAATGAAGATATTATCCCCATATTACCATGTCATTTTGAGGATTAGGTGTGTTGATGGGCAGAGTCTCTGCCAGAGCACTGATTATGTTATAGGCATTACATAAACACTACCTCATATCATTTTACAAAATATTACTAAGTGTCCACACATATCGTCTTTTAAAGAATTTATCTAATTTTTATTGCTTGAAATTTAAATGATAGAAACCAAAATTGTAAAGCATCTTCTGAAAATCCTCCTCATCTCCAAATATGAAAAAAAGGAAGGAAAGAGAGAGCTATTTTGAGTTATAGCAAAAGGAATCTGGCCAGCTTGTGATGTTTCAGAGGTGTGCCTAGCCAGCCAGAAGATGGATTCCATTCATTCCCTTGGTAATTTAATTCCCCTGTTAAGTTTATGGGCTTTTTTCCCTTGATTGTCCTTGTGTGGGTAACAGATGCAGATCAACAAGGGACTGGAGACTTTAAAAGAGTCAAGTCACAGAGAGTGGCCTCAAAAGCAACCAAACGGAAGTTTTGCAAACCAGGCACAAAAATTAATATACTCTAACTTGTAATAACATTTGTGCAATAATAATATTCCTTGGTGGTTTAATATTCTATTCAGTCCTTTTAAGAGATTGCCCTGTTGCTTAATGAATGACCAATGCTTATTAGGTTAAGTTGTATTTGAGCTGGCCTGTGCTGCTCCGGTTCAAGTGATTTAATGGGAATTATTTAATAGGTATTATTAGGATAATTAGAAAATGATCACAGTTAGGCAATAATATTGAGCTATAAAGGTTGTGAATAACCAAATTTAGAGACAGACCTGAAAACATGAGTAGCCTGCGACAGTTATGCAAGGCTCCTCTGATAATTATGTAGGCAGCCTGAAAGGGGCTTTTGTTCTGGGAGTTATTCATTAGGCGGGCATTGAATTAGAGGAACATGCGGGGGTGCAGGACGGAGGGCAGTGATGGCTGATGAGCAAAATAAGGCTTTGATGAGCTCCTCATTGTCCTGACGACAATTCCCGCTTTCTTTTTTTCCAGCAGTCAGAAATAAGCTCTCCCGCCCTGGGAAGGGTTTTTTCCCATTTTGCCAAGGAAAGGGAAACAAAGAAAAACAAAAATCTAGCAATCCACCCCAGATGACAAATCATTATGTTTTGCAGGACGTGGACTCGTGTGTGTGTGTGTGTGTGTGTGTGCGTGTATGTGTGTGTGTGTGTGTTGTCTTTGACAAAGGGAAGAGAGTCCCCTCTTAGTCCCAGATGCCCAGGTGAAAGACTGGGATATGCAGTGACCTGATTCCTGGGGGCCCTACCACCTTCTGGGTGGAGGCTAAGCCCAGCTTTACAGCCACTTAGACTCTTCTTGGTTGAGGCACTGTTTGTCACCTACTGGCTGTTGCTTGTCAATATGATGATCAGTGTTACATACTAGGGGCATGGAATACCCCAATCTAGAAGAGACCACCATTCGTATTTAAATGGTCTGGATAACACCATCTGGGCTTGCTTTCAATACCTGGAATCTGATGAAAACTGAGTAACTTTGAAGAAGAAAGGATTTCTCCCCAGGGGAGTTTGATGAGAATTATTATTCCCTTATAGCTTTACCAGCTTTGGGGACGATTTACTAGCTATTTGTCTGCATGGAGCTTCTTGCCTTTTTTGGAGCCGGATGGTTTCTCCTTTCCGGAGATTGAGGGGTTTACCAAGAAAAATCAGGATGTGCAAGGTGTCAGCAGGTGGCAGCAGGAGCACACATTATGGTGAGAAATGCCAACGAAAGCCTCACCAGGACTGGGGAAGTAGTTTGTCTTAGACTTCGTGGTTTTCGCTGCTGCTGAGGAGCCAAGGAATAAAAATTCCTGGATAATGTAACAGTGAGGTGTCCTGGACAGAGCACAGGCATTAGAGTCAGACATTCTTGATTATGAATCCCAATGTAATCCTTATACAATTATTTACTTTTCTGCCAAATTTTCTTCTCATCTGTAAAATGGGATGAATAATACCAACCTCATAGGGATGCTGTGAAGAAAAGATTAAGTGATATAATATTAATAAAGCACCCAGAAAAGGGCCTGAAATACAGTAGGCATTCAAAAATATTTCTTCCCTTTTCTTTTATATCCCTGCTATTGTAGAACACAGCTGGATGGTCGATGACTTCTCAAATTGTATTTATTTGTTTGTTCTTTCACATTCATTTATAACTATACTCCCTAAAAGAGATTTAAGCTGGTTTCTATAAATATTTGTAATACATGAATTTTGCATGCCTGGCCCAAACAAAGATCTCAATGAGAACTCATTGTTACCACTCCTGCACCCCCGCCACTCCCTGCCCCCCAAAACAGCAATACAATAAAAGCTGTTCAACAAAGTTAGCAGACTGTGGGTTTCAATTGAGGCATGGCAGTCTGCCACAATTTAGGAATGGGTTTTAGGAAACAGATATTCTTTAGGTTTCCTTCCATAACTTTTGATCTCTAAAGGTACTGGAAGGCAGTGGGTTAAAGGTTGCACCCTCTGATTCATCATTAGACACATCTGGTTACTGTGCATTCATAGGTCAGCAGAGCAGGGGAAGGGTTGCCATCCCTCTGTGATTCTAGAGGAGTCTCTCTAAATACAGGTAGCCATGAACATGGAAACACAGATAATATTATTTTGTCACATAATATAATGGGATATTGTCAGAAAAGGACACCAACCTTATAGAAAATGGCCAGGAGAAATAAGTTTCCAGCTTCACTGACCATTCTGTAGGAAGTCCATGGCTTCGTTGCAAGCCAAATATTGAAAAAAACCAATAAAAGACTAAAGCTGACTGTCTTAAATTGTTTTTTTAAAAAAATAAGATAGAAGATAGAAATAAGAAATGAAAAGGGCAGA